AGGCTATGTGTAAATTTCATATTAACATGTTTAATCTAGCATAGGCAGCATGATGACATGGACATAAACTAACTGCATTACTGCATGCAAATTAGTAACTGATGAGATAGAGGTCCATGCATAGCAAGTTTGCCAGCATAGGATAAATAGAGAGTCTTCACACATCTTCCTAAAAATATTCAATTATAAACGGATATTTTCTCTAACCTTTAAGCAACTAAATTGGCAAGTTGCTTTGCAAAAGTGACTAGTTAAAATTAACTAAGTTAGAGGCGCAATCATTCCAAAAGCGGTCATCTGGATTTTCGAGTAGGACTTAGCAGTTCTAGCAGCTATTGAGGAATCTGAACTTTAAAGTATATAGCAAACCATGACTTCTCTATGAGATCTTTCAGACATATGTAGGATGCATTTGTAGACCGAATTAGAGGACAAAACTATTAACAAAATGTGGGTTGTATTGGAAACATCCTAGATATTGGGAAATGTGCCAAAGATTAACTTTGGAAATGCCCAGATAGGTCTCCAAAAGCGACAAGAACTTTTGCGGTTTCTTCAATACCCCAATGTGCATTTCAGTGTTAACAGATATCCCGAAATTAACAAATTTCATTCTTTTATACTTGAAGTTAGGAAATTATTGCATATAACAACTTTTAGAATTGAATGAAATAAAGCATTAGTGAGAATACATTTACATATTTTTCCACAGCGGGGAAAATTTATTATATTCCACGTAACAGAAAATCCATACCCAAATATTTACTCAAGTGTTAATATCTGATTTATTCAGTGTTTCTTTGTATGCTTAACAACGCCGCCTGAATACGAATATTTCTTTGAGGTGTTCATATTTTATATTCGACAGGTACGTTGTGGGAAAAACTATCCATATTTTTTATTGCTCAAAATATAAAATTTCAAAACGAATTTAGCAGAAAAGACGGCTTATATATGTGGTATATAATGCTTCGTGCATCCCGACCTCAAACAATACGGTCGCATTTTTAGGATGGATCCGTAAGGCATGAATGGAATATCTTTGCATATTTATTTAGATATTTCGGAATTATTTAGAGTTTTGAGTTTAGAGGTTTCGAAATCGTCTATAAAAATAGGTGAGCTACCGACATCTCCTCGCTATTTGAATTCGAGTTAAAACACAACCGCGTCTATAAAGCAGCAAACTTTTCAAGTGCCCACGTTACTTTCCCCAATTAACATTCAAAGTTTGCGATTTAGTTAATATTTATTAAGCCGTTGGCCCCAGCAAACTTTGATTACTAGTTGTTATAGAAAACAAACATTAATCTCTGTTTACTTGCAAGACATTTATCTAACCAAGGGTGCATGAAAAAGGCAAGAAGATTCGAATTTTCCCGGAATGCTGTGCGGCAGAAACGTTTTAGGGAGCTGCCACTTTAACTGTTCAACCTCATATTTCCTCAAAAAATTTAACATTAATCTCTTTTGAATGATAAACACAACGAACTTCATTTGTTTCGGCTTGGAACATTTTTTCTAAATGTTTCATAAATTATTGATCAAAGACCACAAATGCACAGTTTTTCCTTTAAACAATTATCAAGTTTGATGTTCCCTCAAGCTGCTGCTATTTAGAGCCCTGATTTTCATTACGTATTTCTTAATTTCAACTCCGAATGCAATTTTGAGGATTAGCACTAATCGAACTCCTCAACGATAATTATTGAGTGCTTATGAAATTAGACGTTCATTCCACTTCCGAAAACCATATTTTTCTCATGTTTTATGGTCGATTAGCCAATAATTTAACAAAAAACTGCTGCCCTGATATTTAATTGGGTAATAAAGACCAATTCGTTTTGAGAAAAATGTCGTCTTAATTGCTCGATATTGCGATTCAATTAATGTTGAAAATTTCATTTAGCTGCTTGTACTTTAATGATTGACTTGTGAAAATTGAAAACAAATTCAATTTAAAAGTTCTTTGCAATAAAGTAAGCTGAATTCGGCCAATTCGCCCAACTCCTTTCATATTTATAATTTTTCATATCCTTCAATTTGTAGAATCACAAGTATCGCACCTTAATAAAATGTGTAAAACAATAAGAATGGAAAAGAATCATGGTGAAAACATTTCCGATTATCGAACGCAATTTCTCTATAAATTCCATAAGTGCAGATAATTAATAGTTAGTAATCCGAAACTTAAAAGCACTGCCATTGTGATATAGTGCTCAGCAACATGCAATTGTTGAATTTAGTGGCCTATAAGGTAAATTAATCATTCCGTATAGTAACTAATCATCATAATGCACAATCCAGATATTGGGATGAATTTAGTAGGTTCAGATTTTTATCCGCACTGAAGCCAACAGAACTTCGAAAAATTCACGCATCTCAATTAATAAGCATTTTCTTTTTATTAATTTAGTTGATCATTTCCTGAACTGTTCAGAGTTAAGTTGGCCTGATCTGAGAGACGTTGAAGCTCCAAAAGTTGAATGAAATATTCAGCAGAATGATGAAATTTAGTAAGAAAGAGCAAGGACGAAAAAATTTAAATAAGTCCTCATGGCAAAGCTCATTTTTTTGGTTATTTGCATTTGCTTGAACTTGACACTGTCTTGTACCTTTAAAGTATTTTTTTCTAATTCATTTAAGTGGTGTACATTTCATTATGGTTCGATTAATTTTTTGGACTCACTATTTGCGGCATCAACAGATACATTTTTAAGTAATCTTGTGGTGTTTATTGTTTGTTTGATTTATTTTCCTCAATTAATGCCGCGATTTCTTCATGATTTCTAAAATTATAATTATCTTACAATTTTGTAGTGTAATATTCTCACACTGCTACTCTTTGTCTGTTTAAATCGGTCTTGAGTCAACTTCCTGCTACTCAATAGCTAGATTTTAGATAGCTGTTGCTTCTGAATTAAATTAAGGAAAAATAGAGATATTTTAAGAAACCTGAACAACATAGACATTTTAAGTATTTCACCTCATATTCAGCTCTATTCAAGTTCTGAAGTGAAAAACGATTCATGAACGAAATAACGGGAAATTGTTTGCACCGCATCTGCAAAAGCTCATTTGTTATTGATGTCCTGTGATTTATTAAGTAACTGTTGACATAAACAAACACTTTTGTCCATTTCAGTTGGTCTGCACATAAAACAAATCTGCAATCCGATTTTCAATATTCACAATCATTGAGTTTTTAAACGATATTTCAATTTTCCTGCTATGTTTGAACAAATATCGGGTTTAGTCGACGGGTTTTCAAAAATACTTTCTATCAGCTATTCGCTTTTTACCAACAATTAGAAACAAGACATCTACCTGACGGTTTGGCTCTAAATGAGATTTTACTGCAGTAAAATTAGGTAATAGGCTGCATGATCTATTAGTGTGAACACACCGATTCACACTAAAATAATACACCGATAGCTATGAACCTTTTACTAATTGCTACTCTTTTGTGCGAATATACAGCGCTCTATTGAAACATGTTTCAGTGTATCTGTGGTCTTTGTGGACGATTGGAATCGATAATATATCGACTTTGGATGCAACCGCAAAATGAAAAGCCATCCATGTGTGCTTGAATAGCACGTACCAAACTATCAATGATTGCATTAGATTAATCACAAAATTAAGGACTACATGTTAATTAACGTTTAGCTTTATAGAAAACATTCAGGACGCCTTCAGGGATTATCAGGGATGATAACGATTTCTTCTAAGTGAATATATGAGTTTTAATTGGAATTGTAAATAATGTGCGTCAGAAATTCAAATTTAAATAAGAAACTGTGAAATGGAAAGTATTAATTCCATTCCCCCATATTAGCTCTGGTAGCACATTTCGGTAAACATATTATGAGCCTTATCAGTATGTAAATGAAACCATTTTCAAATTAAGTCACATTTTATGCTAATAATGGCGATGTTCTTGGGCGTTTATGGAATATGATTTAGGAAGCAAAATTGAAAATTTCGGCAATTTGCGGCATTTACCCTTCATACTTAAAATTTGTAGCTGAATCTTTTTCGCAAGACATTTTTAGCGAATGTTTCTAAATTAAGCACAATTTTAGTTAAATTTTTGTCACTTTCACCTTCGACAAATTAACTTTACTAAACAATCAAACTTGAACTTTAACTGCAAAGTTTTAAAATCGGCCACCATTGATCAAAAAACAATATCAAAAAGGTAAATAAGTAAAGCAGCAAAATAATATCATGATTAGAAAACACTGAAATCTTATACACTCAAATGGCATCAAATCCCGACAGCTTCAGTGAAATAAATGGAAAACCAAAGAGTACAATCGATTAAACACAATTGATGTTTTGACCTGAGAGTTTGCCAGTTTTATCGGCAGCTTCTAAAAGTTTAATCAAATTCAATCATTTTGAAATGGACAGTTGATCCCCAATGCGAAACAAAATTCAATGAAAAATAAAGGGAATGACCCGGAAATATCGTTACGATTTATAGCGTCTCAGTTTAAAAGGTCATTAAGCTTCACTTCATTTAAATGAACGAAATTTGTACTGAGAAAAACTGTATAGTTTCGGTGGGTTGGCGAGCATTATTTATTCGAAAAAATAAATCTTTCCGATAGAGCGGTTCTATGGAAACTTTCGAGCAAATCACTCAATTTCAACACAGATCAGTAGCTGGCAGTGTCGCATTTTTTAACACACTTTGCACCATTAAGGCAATGTTCGAATAATTGAGTTTTCGGACGTATCAGAAGAAGCGCGAGCGGATAAACTGACACATGATCGAGCTTAATTTCAGTTATTAATATAAAATATGGCAAGGTTATTATTCAAATGCCCAGGTGGCACAGCTCGAGCTTCCAGAAAAGGAATCGATGTGAAGTTTTTCAGCAGAGAAAAGAGGTGTGGATGCTAAAAATTGTAAAATATTTTAGAATCTTAGGTTTTTCAATAATCTTTAATTGTGAATATAACACAGTAACTAGATAAACACTGGGTTTCAGGTGTTCATTCGCAAACTCACGGTCCAGTTTACCTGTTGGAACCTTCAGCTCAGTTGACTTTCTCTAACACTACAGGCTCTCAAGTCAGCTGCGCTGCACATGGGTCTCCAAATCCGCAAGTCGAATGGCTACTGCATGATGGAAAAACCGTTACTTCTGTACCAGGATTAAGGTGAGATTCGAACAAACTAGCGGCTTTTTCTAAAGTTATTTTACCACTGCAAGCGCAAATTTGCCAGTAAAATTTGAAACAGGTGTAACAAATAATTGTGATAAATGCTCTTGAAGATGCCAGTAAAAAGCGAATAATCCAGAGAGCAGGTGTTTTTAATTCTTGCTGAACTGTAATTAAACAGGTTTTTCGCACGAATTTGCCTCGCCTTTGAAATAATTCTGCTGACAACGCAGAATAAGGTTTTTGCAGCTATTTTTAATCCCATTGGAAACTTTGAACCGATTTGCTCCGAATTTGAAGATTTATCATTATATTTTAATTTAACAAATTATTTGCCAATGTCGATTCCATTCATTCAGTTAGGGTTGGTTTTAAAGTATTTAGTGATCACCAATTATGAGGGTTCAAGACCGACATTTCGGTTATTTAAAATTAAATGAAATGTGCATTCTAATTCAGATTATTTCGAACAACAAATGTTAGCGAAGGCGTGTAGCTTGTTATTATTGGAAAATTGCAAACTTGTTTTTTGAGGAACTGCAACTGGTAATATTAAAACTCTTATATCTGAAGCTTAACGCCCTAATTTCAACACCAAATTACTAATCGAACCCTGATTAATTAGGTATTTTTCCAATTTCGATAATCCGCTTAGTTAATTACTTGCTCTATTCGCTATGGTTTGTTAGTGGAATTTAACAATATCCAGTAAATCCAGATCAAGAAGGTATTTCTATTTAATTAGCTGGAACCCTTAGTCGACTGTAAACATGGATAAAAGAGGATTCGATTGTTACGTGGGTTGCTATATGGGACTTATATATGTCCAGACCTGAGACAAATTGGGTTGTCCTGAGGCAGCGATGGACAGTGGAGACGGATCAAAGAGAAACATTCTCATTAGAGAACTGCATTTAGAGGCGTTTGATCATGACATGAAAAAACGTTTCTATTTTTATATAGTTTATATACCACGAGCGCATAAGACAGATTCTTTAGCAACTAAATACCACTAGTATTTACTAGTGCAGATTCAAATAATGATTGTCGTCTAACGACCAGTGCAATGAACTCTGCTAAATATTACAAATTCTGCTGCTAAACCGAGTATTTTTTCCAGGCATTTGTCAGGATCGTAAGTTGAAAAACGTAATTTTCAATCCCGTTCAGTCAAGTATAGCCAAGTAATTATTTTTTAATAAATAATCAATATTTTTAATTCCCAAGAAGTCTCTTTCAGCGTTGTTCGCTAAACGGCGCTCGCTCAGAAACTCCATGTTTCTACTATCGTGGTCAATTAACGTAAGAAGTTAATTGAAGTCGACGGCAACATCAACGATAAATAGGACGTCGTCGGCGTCGCGAGAGATGGAGTTCGATATTTGAGGCTCTTAATTCCCTAGTGGCTCTTACATCCTCACGTTTAGAACTCTTGCTTGAAATAGTGCCAGTCCTTCCTACCGCATCACTTACGGTCTATCAACAATCTACATCGTAAAAAACCGTTTTCGATCATTCATAGTTTTATCCACGTTTTTTACGCCAATATGTTCTATTGCTTAAGTCCGCTTACTCTGAACAGTTTACCTATATCTGAAGTGGAAGCTAAGTTGGAACACTTTCAAATGTAATAAACTAAGCATCAGTTATGATCCCGCTTTTTAATATTAACTGAAATTGCTATAAATTGCTACACAACTCCTTACGCCCTAATAGGTAGTAAATTGAAGCAAAGCAATTACGGTATTTTCTTGACATAAGATATAATGGAGGTGTATTTTTAAAATCATCCACCCCAAGACGGACTTTTTCAGATAATTCCACAACAGCCGCTTTCATATTAAATAGCGGAAATTTAATAATTGAAATATCATCAGTCAATTAGGCCCGCACACCTGATAATCTATGCGCATACTTAATAAATATTCTACATATTTTGAAACATAAATGCCACTCTGGATAATTCAAAGCTTCCCCATCGTTTGTCACACTGTTTTCTCCAGGGATTTTTCACTTCCAGAATTTCCTCAAATTAGCTTCAAATAGCATCTAAACCGAAGTTAAATTGCATGGAAGTTAGTGGTTAATTGATATATCCGATCAGGCTAAATATATATTGTGTTATTGAAATGGAATTTGCCGAATAGTAATAAATATGACCAGCTGCATTTTTTTACATCTAACCTAGAATTTTTGCACTAAACTAAAGTACGTTCTATTGATTCGGTTAGTTTACCCAAACTGTTTTAATTTGCTAGCATTTTCATATTCCGTCAATTTACTCAAGTTTGTAAGCGGTAATATCAAAAATGAATTTAAAATTTAAATTTAAATTAACTAAATATTTCACCCAACTATGTAATATGAATGGAAAGTGGCTTGAGGTTTTCCTATATCACATGATGTAACAATTTAATTTTACCTAGAAAATGTCCAGTTTAACCGAAAACAAATTCAGTCAGTAAAATTGCATTTAAAGTTATAAATGAATTACTACAAATTAACCTATTGTTTTCAGTTTCCAGTGATGGAACAATTTGTTAACATTAGGGGAATAAAATGCATGAAAAGCCGCAAGCTCTGTTGATGCCATAATAAATATTATCATTCTGTTATTGTGACCACATCCTGTGCTATTATAGCAGCCAGCTATTGTTCCTTTAGTTTTGGTCGTTGTCGCAACATTCAGGCCTATTTTTCACCATTATTTCATGCTTTATAAAAGTTTTTAACACAAAACGGAACTGGGCTATAGAAATGCGATCAGTGCTTTAGCGAAAAATTCTGTATAACGTGTTACACACAGTAACTCCAGTAATTTACTAGACTACTCTTTTAGTGACTTTATATCTTGATTTTAATGATGTTTGCTCTTCTCTCTTCATGTTCCTTACAATGTAGAGCTCGAATTTGTATGCTTTGTGCATCGACCGTAATGCTTGTTTTACCGAGAAGAGAATCTCATACCATTAATTCAATGACTTTTTTGTCTCAGTGTGTTATTATAAATGCATTCTCCACATTTTCGTTCATTTGTATAAAGGATTTGTCATTTGCAAATGTCACGTTATCTCATTTAATTTTTCCTCAATATTATTGGAGGTCCTAGAATATATCATACGTTTAGTAAATCTCATTAGGACATCATTAATACCGTACGGAATTGAAATTGGATTGAGGATGCAAGCCACTTCTGTTTGCGAAACGTTAGGAAGAAATTGTTTTCCACGACGACCTAAATAGGAAATAGTAAAATACAAGTTTAGCTGCAATTTGATATACATAATAAAATATAATAAATTCTCAAGCGTTCTCGGCTAATTAAGCTCAAAAGCGTTATAAATATTTCCTGAAATCAACCTGGTTTGGAATTTTCCATTTTCCTGACAACTTTTTCTGATTCATATGTTTAGAGGAATAAGTCTTCCATCATTTTCACGTGTTCTCCGTTTCCCGAGTATATCAATCAAAATCCCCAATTAGCTCTAATGCGTGGCCAAAATTAATTACGAGCAAAACGGAGGTATGTTTCCAAGTATTTTGGTTTAAAGAATTCAATAGAATTTACTTAACAAATTGCTCAATAACGGATTATTCTAGAATAGCAGAAATCCAAATATTTTGCAGTGCAAAGTTTTAAGTCCTTGTTTCACACCCTGGGTCTATTCTGATCACGTGTAGCTTGGAGGAGAAAATAGAGCAACTATATTAAATAAAGTCAAGGCGTACCTGTTGATGCCGCAATGAAAGCTCTATTCAGGCTCTTCTACTCGTCAAAAAGATCGCACCAGTACATTTTCCCCATAATTTTAAATGACTTTACTTCAAAAGTATTTTACACGATTTCCTCAGAAGTTACTGATTTAAATTGAGTTGCGACCTTCAAAAATTATTGAATGTGTTGGTTGCAGTTCATTTTACTCAACTTTTCCTTCAATTAATTTGTACAATAGAACAAACCGGCTCATTATATTCACTGTTTCACGACATTGTTATTTTTGATTAGTACATTCTCGTCGGATATCGGCATATTATTGGAAACATAAATTACAGGGTCTATAGAAAGCGAGGTGTTGGGAAACTTTCAGAGGATCTGAAAAATTGTACCAGATTTTAATTCCATCAGTATTTGTGTGGTTGAGAATATTGCTAAAGTAAAATATTCTAGTAGTAAACTGTGATAATCAGTCTGCCATTGTTAACAAGATTATTTGCGTAGTTAACTTATGGGTTTGAATTTCAAATGTAATAAAAGTTGTACGTTGAACATTTGATATCAAAATCCATTAAAGCCCATTTGTAGTTGATAGCACGGATATTCAGCAGTTTATGCCAGAATATACAAATTTGGCAAAATTACGACGGGAAAGATCGATTACAACCCAAAATGGTGCACATAAAATAGTAATGGACCTGTCTGCAGTTCCTAATGAAAATGGACGAATGACCTACTAAAGTGCAGGAGTGGAATAGATTTCGGAATCTATATTGTATCCACCTTTGTTGCAGGAATAATGATCAATACTCGTCTCTAACAGAATTTCGGACCGCATGAATAAAAAATAAACTGTCGCTTGGAGATTGAATTGGCCGTTATATCTGTGAACGCAAATGTGTGACGGATAAACTTTTTAAATCCTGTTAAATGTCTAATAACGAGGAAATCTAACTCTTTCTACTCTCAACGCGCATTTGGATATTGCAATATTTTCCATTCATGTAATTATTGCGTCTTTACTAACTGAAATGGGCCTGGAAATGACAATACATTATAATTACACTCCCTGATCAAATATCAATTACTACCCGGTTTAGTGCAAATTTCAATTCCACATTATACAACCCTGAACTGGCCAATCAAGAAAACGTTTACATTGTGTCAAGTGTTATTTGCATATAACTACTGCTTCTCATGTTACCACTAGAAATTACGTTTGGAGCGTTATAATATATTAAAAGTATTTATTATCCGTGCTAATTCAAAAAAGTGGTCGGAA